TTTTTTTTGGTTTTTCTCCGGTACCGGGAACCGAACTCACGACCTTGCGCTTGCAAGGCAGGCGCTTTGCCGCTGAGCTAAATCCCCAGCCCCAATTCTGCTTATTCTTGATCTTTCCACTGTCTCATTACTTTGCCCCTATAGCCTATGGTCCTCTTCCATGACACAGTACCCTCCCTCTCCCCATGTCTCAGACTGTATAAGGAAGCTTCTTCCATCCTTTCCCAAATTTTGTCCCTATATTACCATGGCCAGGATCTACAGGCTCCCAATCACACCTATGCACGATAGGTGAAGAACTAGTTTTACTATCCTTATTCTCTGAGACAGGTCAAGGTAGCTGAGAGTCTTCTTTGCAGACAAGTAACCCCAGTTCCCACATTGCTGGTTGAGTGGCCAGTGAGTTCCGGAAGTGAAGAATGCATATTCACATACTTATCTCCAACTACAGACACCAGCTTTTTCATTTTCTTTTTTTTTCATAGACTTCTACCCATTCATTAAAATCTCTACTATGGGTCTCAGGAATGTCTCTTTCCCTTTTTCCACCTCAAGCTTCCCAGACTTTCACGCTAAGTAATTGGATCATTCTAGCTTCTGCTGCCCCAGATGAAGAATTATAGGAATAAGCAGTGAAGAGAGAAAGTTTGTGCCCTTATCTTCAGAGGTGGACTGTCAAACCTTTCTAGATAAGCCACCTGGAATTTAAGCCTCCCACACAGACAGGCCTTTGCAAATTTCCACCTTCCTTATCTTTCAGGAGGTACCTTTAACTTAAGTTTTGTAATTAGAAATCACACATACCATAGGTTGTTGGTGCCATAGGAGAGGTGGGCAGGGCTCCAGAGTTGTTGTACATTGCAGCATCTGTTACAACACAAGTGTAAGTCAGAGATGGGGGAGAATGCAGCCAGATAGTCATTTATCTAAAGGCAAATTGCCTAAAACATTGTGAATCAATTGGGTGGATTGTCAACAGTCTTTAAGTAAAAAAAAAAAAAAAAAAAAGGAACCTGGCTTGGTTACTATATAATGTATGAATATATTGAAAAACCATATAATTATTATGTCAATTAACATGTTATACAAGGAAATCAAAACAAATGAAAATATAACCATTTATATAATAAGGCAACTTTTCTTTTGCAAGTTTTTTCTTCTCAAATTTTGTATCCTAGATATTACAGTGCAAAAGTTAAGGAAGGGTGGTTCAGACGGCTGCGGCCACACAGCATCACAAAGTTTGCATAGGAGGCAGGGCACAAATGCAGCAAAGCATAGAGAGAACACAGCGAGTAAGTAAGCACTGGATGGACACAGTGCTAAGATACTCCTTCCTTTAAGAAAATTAAATTGTTCTATCAAAGTGTTTCCATTATGTCCCACTGCCCTGGCTTCTTAACTTATAAAGAAAGACTTCATTCATTTTTAAGATAAATTATTCACAGAGTACAGACTCTGTCCGTTATTATCCTTTACGTGAGGCTGGAGCCTCTGAGTGAAGACCCCAAAAGTATACTTGGCAGGCTGGTGATTGCAACCAATTTTTCCCTTTGATTTATGGAATCAAGGGATCAGGAATTTAAATACGCATTTCTCTTATAGAAGATACTTCTTCCAAATATCCTCATTTTTCTTCTTCTTAGCATTATTACACAAGTATGGAAGTATCTGGAATCAATACGTAGTTTCTCATTTGAGTTCTCAGGCTCCGATGAAAACTAATATTATCATGATATCTGATTTAAAGCTTAAGAAATCCCAACAGTAAGAAAACCAAAGTTCATAGCTATACCAAGCCAAAATAAGTAAGTGTACCAATTACTTGGCCAAGAGAATTCCTACTGGGGATGGGAATGTATTTGTCCCCCAGTTGACCCAGTATGAATTGTACTACTTCTGAGCGTTTGAATTTCTCCTCTCAACAGACATTTCATACAAAATAATCAGTCCATTTGCTCTGGAATTAAATCATTGGCACAGAAGGTATTTGGCACCAAACCTGTTTTCCTAAAGGTGTGCTCTTGTCCCAAAAAGAAATTTTGAAATTTTCTTTTTTTTTAAATCAAATCAGAAAGGGTAAGTTCCTCTAATTTATTGCTAAATTAGGCTCTCCCCTCTATTATCTTATGCCTGTGCTTTCTTTCAGGCCTGGGAAAAGTCCTAACTTCGATGTTATTTGTGACCACCCCTGTCTCTAGTGCCCCTCTCCTGATCACTTATTGTTGGTACTACTTTAGATATTTTCTGAAAAATCATTGTATAAAATTTCTCTCCCCACCTAAAATTTCGTGGTATGAACACTATCTAAAAATGTCTTCTAATTTTTTAAGATTTGGCACAGTGCTCAGCTCCAGTAAATTCAATCACTATTTGCTCAGGCTGAGGCAAGGGGATTGCAAGTTTGAGCCCACTATGGGCAATTTAGTGAGACCTTTCTCAGAATAAAAAATAAAAAAATAAAAATTGAGAAAGACCTGAGGATGTAGCTCAGTTGAATACCCTTGGAGGGGTAGCGGGGATACAGAGACAGGAGAGAGAAAAAGACAATAGCACAGTCAGGAATAGTTCTTAGCATTTAAAATGAATCCCTAAGAGTTGAAACAAATTGAGGAAAATGAACCTGTGTATCATGTTAATGATATGACTACACAGAGAAAATATTATCTGACTCTTACTCTGACATCAGAGTTTATAGTATTTCTCTTGCACATTCTCATAGGATATGTTCTAAAGACAAAGAAACTAGAATTATAAAGGAATCATAAAACTCATTCTATATTTATAATATAAGTAAAAGTATTGGTATTGGTTTTTTAAGTAGCAGCTAAAGTAAAGGCTGCTAATATTGTTAGCATTATGCAATCCAATTTAGGTAAAAATTTTATTATCTTTAATTTGAATTAGAGGTAGCAATAAAAAATCCTGATATTTTCCTTTTAGAATATACATATTTCCTAACTTTTCCCATTGGAAAAAAAATACAAGAAGCAATGATAAACCTGATAGCCATGAACATTATTATTGCCCAATCTGTGGTCTCTAAATATCGTTTTCCTCCAAAGAATCAAGATTTCTTCAGAAAATCATTGCTTTCACATCTGGGCCAGTAAATAAATGCTCCAGATGAGCATGGTACATCTTGCTCCTTCAGAAAACAAGAAGTTTACCAGAAGGTTATTTAAAATTAGATTCAAAAACATAGAGATAGTTTAAAAGTGCAGAATCTGGTTACACACAGGGCAACTTGAGCATGGAAAAGAATAATAATTGCAATTGACTAAACATTGAATTTATAAAATGCAATGAATGCCTATGATGCAAAAAGACAAAGGTGTGAAAACCAAATGTTAGACTACACTGAAGGTCTCTGAGACATCAATATTACTCTGGACATAGACAATTAAAGGGGAAAAAACATTTATCCTGCCTTTCCAATGTGAATTGTACTTCAGGGTGAATGAGTACATGAGGAAATTCAGCAGAAATCCTGCTAATAAGTATAGAAAATAAAAGAATTTAAAAATCACTATTTAACAACCCTGTTTAGTGAAATAATTTATTCAAGTGGGGCTTACCAAGGCAGGGTAAAACGTATAGCAAAATTCACAGGAAACTTTCCCACAAAGCGATAACTACCCGAAACAAGACACCACTCTGACTACAACTAAAAGTAAGGGAGTCCAACAATACATTCCCATGATGAGGTTTAGCAAAATACACAAGGCTTCTTGACAAAATAAATATTGAATTTGAATCAAATTGGCCAATAAATACAACTTGTAGTTTACAGGAATGACACAAGGTAGAAACTTGAGTTAAATAACATCACAGAAGGCAACTGGCAACACCAGAATAAATTTCTCTTAAAAACAGGGAACCGATTTATACATTAAAAGAGACATCTGAGAGGTATAAGAAAGAAAATCCACCAAGAGGCTTTTATTTGAATCATGCTTAAATGAAGACAACTGTAACCAGGCATTATTACACAGTAAGAGGTATTTAATATGGACAGGAAATTCGGTGATACTTAGGCATTATTTATTAATAAATATTATGATCTATTATAGTTTGCCTAGAAAGATAATACTACTTAATTAGACACTCCCAAAATTATTAGTAATAAAATCAAATAATGTTTCAGATTCTCTTTAATATACTTTAGCAAAAAAGAAAAGAATAGATTACTTAAGTGTGGTAAAACCTCAGGAGTAAAGCTGAGTGATAGGGACACATTGCTGTCATTACTTCTGTGTATAATGTTTGAGATTTTCATTTGAACATCTTAATCATGTTTCTTCTTACTACCCTTAATGTGTATAGTTTTTGACATATTGTGTTGTCATTTTAAAATACTTTACCGTACCTCTCTTCTAGACAAATGTATGAGGAAGAGTCAAGTAAATATTCTGTTCACTTTTGTTTTGTAATTAAATGCCTCCATGATTAAAATTAGAAACAAAGATTCCCACTGCACCCTAGTGAGAAGCCACCCATACAACCCTGCTCCTCTTGGAGACCTGCCTGTGGGAACCCGGATGTTAGTCTTCCTCCTCCCTCACTTAGTCCCACTGCCCCATGGGGTTCCCGTGCTTCCCACCTGATTGGAAGGTGATCTCACTGAACATCATCCAGGTGTCAGCAAAATGGTATTGGCATTTGATGGCACTGGCCATGCGGTGGTGGAGAGGCACTGTGACAAAACGAGCGCTGGGGTTGACGTCATCCAGGACAAGGGGGAAGGAGACAGCATTGGGTTCCCATTCATTGGCTTCCGAGCGGAAGTAGCACTGTACTTCCTTAAAGATCTTCACACCTTTAGCAAACATGTTGTTACAGTGGACCTGGCAGAGAAGGAGGCATGTGAGTGACAGCTTGGCTCTGCTAGGTTATATGGGAACATGGTACAAGCTAACCCAGTAGAAGCCTAGACCTGCCCGCTTCTCTGAGCACTATTCCTGATGCTCTGCAGTCTTCTGGATCTTTGTTGCCAGGGATTCACAGTGGTAATGATACACTGGTCGGGACTTACAAAACCTTGATTGCAAACCCGGTTACCTCTGCAATTGGGCTTGGGCCAGTTACTTTCACTATGCTGAGCTGAAGTACCCTCATCTGCTAAATGAGAGATGAACAAGTGTTCCCTCAGGTTGTTTCTTTCCCTGAACTCTCTTTATTCCACAATTCTCTCAATCACAGTTGCCATCTACCTATATTTGAGCTATTTATTTTGAGTTGTATTTGAGGTATGAGGGAGACTGCCAACTTATTCCTGCTAGGTACCTTCCAAAGCCAGACCACTCCTTTTCAAGGGGACTAGATTATGCTCTTAAGCAAATTCATTTGAAGCAACATCATTCCTATAAGAGCATCAGCTCTTTCTCAGAGATGATTTCTGCAATGAAAAAAGAAGGTCTTCGGAAGTTTACTTGAATCCTCTGACCTGCTACCAAGACTATTTCACCAGGATATTTGAATAGCTTTTGCAGTCACTAGGGACAAAGATTCCACAACAACCATCTGTAGCACCTTGCTATGTTTAACAATCCACAAAAATGATGTGTATATATTTGTAATTAAATCAAGGCCATTGTGATGGTAATTCAGTAACATTTTCTCTGATTCAGTCTCACATGGAAAATGGGTTTTTGCTGGCCACTATTCCTTGAATTTAAGGACTTTCTACGTTGAAAAGACATAGTTGTCATTCTAGGAGCATACTTCCTGTCTCCATTTTAATGTCTTGTCTGTGTTGGAGTCATAATGCTTTAACTGTATCATCCTGATCACTTCTCTGACTGCTGGGTAGTCAAGACAGGACCTCAATACAGAATTTGTTGTTAGGTGAAGAAGGAGCAGCAATGGTGAAAGAAATTTAATCACTAAACACTGGATGAGACATACACTAAGGATAGAATGTCAGAGCTATTGTAAACATAATCTAACATCACACTTTATTTACTAACGAGATACCAGTGAGATACTACTTTAGAGAAGGTTGGTTTGCCCAGTGTCAATCAACAAGAGCAGCCCTAAACTCCTAGCTCAGTGCTCTTTCCTCAGATTATCCCACATAGAAATAAAACAAATCACTTTTAAATTTGGATTTTTCTCTAAATGTTTTACTGATGAAAACATATGCTAATATACTCTTTGGGATGAATGAACTATTCCAGTTTATTGAACATAAGTCAATGAAGTACGGGTAAGGAAAAAAAGAAAGAGCTATCTACAGCTTCAACAGATTTTTCAGATGTTTTGAAATCTGCAAAGTGTTGGGTAAGTATCCTGTGGGGAAGGTAATAATCTCTCCTACAGATGTCTTGGGAATTTCCTGGAATGCAAATAAATAGCATAGGATTTCATTCCCACATGATCTTGCAAAGTTATTTAAATAAAAAACTACACTTTTAAAATGCATTTATTATTTTAATGGTATATTTTAACCATTCCTCAAAGGGGAAATGAACAGAAATCGCTTAGAGGCAGATGCTACTCTCTAGAAGGCATCAGCTGCCTAAAATTCCTCTTTTTACTTTTTGTCTCAGAAAAACTAAAATATGTTGAAAATCTGTTGGCCCTGAGAAGACGGTCCTGAATTTGCTCCTGAGAAGTTCCTGGCATCTTCTCATTGCAATTTAAGTTCTTAAATAATTTTGGCCTGTGATAAACTAGTTAAACAGAATCTGAGTGATGCAGGAATATCAGTCTATTAATGAAATAGTATAAGTTTATTCAGAGTTTAAAATACATTTCATTATTTGTTAGAATAGAAATCCTCCCAGTGATATTTTCTTGTGAATTTATGTACATGTTCACAAGTGCATATAGATATAGACAATATTTGGGAATACAAATTTTCTTTTAAAGTATATTTATATACTTTTATTAGTTTTGTTACAAATCACAGATTCCATTCTTTCTTGCCCTACTCCCCACATGGGAAGAATAATGTGTTATACACAGTTGCACACACTTATGTTTAACACTTTTCAAAGAACCATCCTTAATAAACTAACACATTGGGCATTTGTTGATCCTTCTGTTCTCATCATAAATGGCTGGATCTTTAACAAGATCTGTTATGGATTAATAGCTGTTAATCCAATTAGGAGATATTATCACTTTAACATCCGAAAGTGAAATAAAAGACATTCACTTTCTTTTAGAAACCTAGTTTTGGTGGAAATTAACAAATTTTGCTTTATTAAGAACCCTTAATAGCAGCATATATTTCCTTCTGGGTCCCGTGTAGTCCTACATATGTCCTTTGGCAAATAAATAAATAGTATCTTCCTTAGTTTGCAATGTGTCCCAAGGGAGGGATAAATTCTTATTTATCTTTTTATACATAGTGTAATGCTACATAGGCTCCAAGTACAGTTGGTAAATTAATAACCAACAGAACAATGGTTAAATTTAGGAAACAAATATTGAAGCTAGCAACTGAGAATAAATACAGGCAGTTATCAGTTTGTTGATCATTATTACTCTATACTCAACTGTTAATGGGTAGAAAGAGCAGATAAACAAGGCTCATGTGTGAAGTCAAATTCATTTGCCCATTCATTCTTCTCAAAACTTTGAGGGCATCCCCATGCTCCTTCATAAACCAGTGAGTTATGTAAGAACTATGAAAGATCCTGTGGCCTCTTCCCTACATCAGACAGAAGGACTTTCCTCCACATCCCTGAGTCCTAGTTTCTCTCTAGCTTAGAAATCAGGTGGATCATCCAGTCTTATTAGTTTTTGCATGGACTTTTCTCCCCTTCCATTCCTGTCTCTCTGAAACAGACATGAGGGTGAGTAAGGGAAAAGGAAAATAGTTATTTGAGCTAAGTACCAAGAAACACATCATGTTATTAATAGAGATGTCCTCGACTCTAACATCAAGATTGGGCTTCCCTGTGAGGTCTTGCTTCAAAGACAATAGAACTCAAACCTTAATTCTCCTCACCCAGCTCTTCTCCAATGTCTGCATTTACTGCGGTCCATTACACTCCTGTCTCTAGACCTCGCCCAAGCCTTTGGCTTCTATCTAAGCACTCCACAAATTTGTCTATGGTCTTTCAACTCCTCTGCAATAGTAAATTGATAGAATAAGTGCTGTGCCTAATGAATACATTGGCTCCATCTTTGAAGTAGGAGAGAGAGCGAGAGAGAGAGAGGGAGAGGAGGAGGAAGAGGAGGGGAAGGAGAAAGGATACAGATGGGGATGGGAAGAGGAAGAGAAAAAGAGAGAGGAGAAACAAATGAAAAAACAAGCCCTTAGAGATGAAGTAAGCTTAAAATACAGGTAGGTAGCTAATAGTTCAATGTGTCTTTGAATCTGGTTCTGCTGGTGTCCACTCATGCTTCTTTCTACTACACCCTTTCTTTCACATGCTGTGATTTTGGGCTCCTTGAAGGAGTTCCACCACTGACCTTCATGGTAGTGAAATTCCTGATGCGATCGAATTCAAACATGATCTCAATGTAGCCGTTGGTGGCACTCTCATTCCGCCAGCCCACGTAGTCATAGCCTGGCCACACGTGGTATTCATGAGTCTGGGTGAAATCATCCAGGCCAGACACCCCATCTGTGAGCTGGCCCAGCCCCTCAGTCATGCTGCTCAGGCCAGGAGAGGAGAAGGAAAAGAGAGAAGAATCTGGAGTTAGCCACAGAGTCATGAAGAGCTTTGACCCAGCTACTTCACCCTGGTTTTATAAGAGCTGATTATCTTAGATGTTGAAGAATTGTAAAAACTAGAATTGATTTTATAGTAATGGTTCATTATTTTTCCCAAGCAGTAAGGAAGATTGAAGAATTTTATATAAATCAATTTTACAAAATGTTCAATGCTTACCACATTAGCGGCAAAACTCTTAAACAATATTCTATCATTTTACATGAAAATGTAAGTGTAGTATGTAGTATCTTTGCCCTCTCTTACACAGTAAATATAATGTCTTGATATAATGAATCTATATCATCAAATGCACCTGATGCAATAATTCATTAGTAAGTGAATGAATGAATGAAAAAAGATGAAAACACTTACCCTGTCACTAAATAAATGTTCCCAATGCTCACTGGAAAATTTTTCAGATTCTCCTTTGACTACATGTTGACATTGTTCAGTGAATCAACTTTATTTTTTTTATTTTTCTTTTTATTCCTACGTGTTTGTGGGACATAATGATTGCCTTCATTGAGGGGAGTTTATCAGTGTATGTAACACGTGTTAATTCTTTTTGCACCCTCTTCCCCTACTCTATCTCCCCATTCCCTCTAATTCTTGATCTCTTCCCTTTTGCAAAAGTGAATTAATTTCAGAGAAGCCATTCATTCTCTCTTCTACCTGAGATTTCCCAAATCCCAGTTTAACTAAGGGCAGAAGAAAAAGTGATCCCTGTTGAATTTAAAAATTAATATGTGATTACTTTTAAATAAATATGTAGAATACGAGATCCATGGAATAAAATGCAGAGTTTTTATGAGAGTCTGTTTTTAGATGTGAATTTATTTTCCAACTTGGCAGCCTTTTCCATTTTTTAACACAAGGCTGTTTTGAGGCGCTAAGTATGTCTGATTCCTGGAGGGGATAAGAGTATATTTATGTTTTTTTTATTTATTAAGTTTATTGGTACAATTTACATATACATAATGATCATATTCACAGGGAACTTGTACCTATACATGGTGTATCTTAGTTTCCCTTTCATTTTTCTCCTATTCCCCTCCCTTCCCCTCAGCCCTTCTTGCCCTTCTTATTTACAAACCTCTGTTTCCATTTTAATCTTTTTTCCCTCATTTTTTCTTTTCCTTTCTTCCCCCTCCCCCATGTCCCCTTTTCTTTTAAACAAATTCTTCCTCTTTTACAATATCTATTATACATTTTGGTTCTACACATTCAGTTTCTCACACCAGAGAAGCAATGTGATATTTACACATGTATTTCATTTATTTCACTTAAGAGTATGGTCTCAAGGTGTATCTATTTAGCTATAAATGTCTCAAGTTTATCCTTCTTTATGGCTGTAGGTGAGTTTTTAATTACATTTTCAATTTCCTTGACAGAAATTAGATCATTTAGAATTTTTGTATCTTCTTGATTCAGTTTTAGTAATTCATAGGTATCTAGGAATCTGTCTATTTCTTGTATATTTTCCACCTCATTAGGGTAAATGTTCACAAACTAGGTATTGATGCTCTTCTGGATTTACAAAGTATCCATTGTGATTTCACCCTATTTATACCTATTTGCATGAATGTAAGTCTTGTCCTTCCTTTTTTTGATAGGCTTGGCTAAGGGTTTGTCAATTTTATTTACTCTTTCCAAGAACCAACTCTTCAATTTATTGGTTCTTTGTATGGTTTCCTGAGTCTCAATTCCATTTATTTCTGCTCCTATCCTTTTAATTTCCTTCCTCATACTGTCTTTGAGCTTGACTTGCTAATCGTTTTCCAGAAGTTTGAGGTTCAATATTAGGTTGTTTATTTCAGCTTGCTCTGTTTCCCTAGTGTGAGAGTTTCCCACAATTCATTTCCCTCCAAGACTGCTTTCATTGTCCCATAAATTCCAATATATCTTATCAGTATTATCATTTAGGTAGCATTTAATTTCTTCTTTAATTTTAACTGTGACCCACTGCTTGTTTAGTAGGATGTTATTTAATTTCCATGTGTTTATTGAGTTCTTGTGATTTCTTTCGCCATTTATTTGCAATTTCATTGCAAGTGGTCAGATAATATGTTCAGATAATGTGCATGGGATAATTCCAATTCCTTTGCACTTACTTAAGCATGTTCTGTGGGCTAATATGTGGTATATTTTGGAGAAAGTCCAGGTGACACTGAGAAAAATGTGTACTATGATGTGGGATGGAACACTATGTAGACATCAACTAAGTCCATTTGTTCACAGATTTGATTCAGTTCTGATATTTCTTTGTTGATGTTTTTGTTTAGTTAATCTATCCATTTGTGACAATGGGGTATTAAGATCCCCACTACAACTGTGTTAGTACTCATTTGATTTTTCATATCCATTAGTATTTGTTTTATATATAGTTGGGTGCACTGTATTTGGTGCATATATATTTATGATTGTCTTCTTATTAAAGTTTTTCTTTAACAAGAAAGTGACCTTCTTTATCTCTTTTGATCAATCTTGGCTCAAAGTTCACATTGTCTGCAAATTAAATAGTGCTCCTTCTTTTTCTACATTCCTGTCACATGGAGTATTGTTTTCCATCCTTTGACTTTCAGTTTATAAATTTCTTTTTTAGTTAAATGTGTTTCTTGAATGCATCATATTGTTGGATCTTGTTTCTTGATCCATTCTGCTAGTATATTTCTTTTGATTGGTGAATTGAGACCATTTACATTGATGGTTATAATTGATATGTATTGACTTGTCCTTGTCATATTATTTTCCTGCTGGTGGTTCCTTGTCTTTCCCCTCTGTTTAATTGCTTGCCTTGCCTAGTGGTTTCTTTTTATTGGTACTCTTCGAATTATGGTCTCTATTATCTCTTTCTAGAATATGTTTCAAACTTTTTGTAGAAAGTTTTGGTTGTCATAAATTTCTTCAGCTGTTCTTTGCCATGGAAGTATTTTATTTCTCTTTTGTAAGACATATCAATCTGGTTGGAAGTTGTTTTCTTTCAGAACTTGGAATACTTCACTCCAAGCTCTCTTTAAGAGTTTGTGTTAAGAAGTCTGCTGTGATTTTGATAGGCTTTTCTTTATATGTTATCTGTTTCTTTTTTCTAACAGATTTTTATATTCTGTTCTTGTGCTAAATTTCTAGAATCTTGATTATTATATGCCTTGCTGTAGATTTATTTTGATCATGACTAATTGGAGTTCTGTATGCTTCACTTACTGTTTGTCAATTCTTTTTCCATGCTTGGGAAATTTTCTGCTATTACTACTGTGAACAGGTTTTTTATGTCATTTGTGCTCACTCCTTTTTCCTTGACTCCAATCAGTATTATTTTGTTCTTCTTTGCATCATCTCGTAGTTGATGGATTGTTTTTTCATGATCTCTTACTATTTTTAAAAGATCTTTCTTTTCATGGATACTAAACACAATTCTGTCTTCTACATCTGATAGTCTATCTTCACTTTCTTTCATACAGTTTTTCAAACTTTCAATGGCATTTTAAACCTCCTGGATATTTGTTTGAGTCTGTTTCATGGATTGCATTTCTTTCCAATGTTGGGCATTCATGGTCTCCATCATTTTTCTATGCTACTCTTTTTCTTTAATCTATATCTACTCTAGATTTGCTAAGCAAATCCTTCATTATGGTTGTCATCTCTTTTTAACTTGTGAAATTACTTGTTTTGCTTTTTCTATAGACTCATATATATCCTTTTTATTTCTGCTGCTGTCATTCCAGAAGATTCAGGTGGATGACTTCTGATTTCCTCTATCTTATTGTCCCTCAGATTTGTCTTATGTGGGTTGGAAGACTAGAACTGCATTTTACTTCTGCGTCTTGCCATTTCTATTTATTTATTTGAATTTGTTTTCTGTGTTGATGTTTGTGTTTTTCTTATGTTAGGTAGCCTTATCACTGGTATTATGGATTCCCTAGAAAATATGTATTCCTATGAGATGTCTTCTAGGTGTAGCTGGCTGTTGGTCTTTGTATTTGTCCCAATGTCCTATCTCTCCACTATATCAGGGATGAGGAGTTGCTATCTATTTGGCTCAGCACCCAGACCTTTGGTACTGCACTATGGGGATGATTATGATCCCAGATTATCACAGTGTTACCATATAAAGGTTAACAGCTAATTACATCAAGTATAGCATCTTAGCTAAAGTAGTACAATTATCTATAACAATATCATCAAGCACAGCCTAGAAATTGACAATCTGTGGTAACTGCTAGTTTGATCTCTCTAACCCTAGGAGCAAGATCTATAGTTATATAACAACCTCTAACATAGGCCAGGAACTTGTACACAGTGAGTTTCCCCTTGGTAGAGTGATTTTATCCTGTGGAGAAGGGGAACTTAGGAGGGATAAGGGACAAAGCAGAGCAATGACTGAAGAGAAATATAGTGGAAGCAAGGCTGAAAGATAAAGGATGATCACCCACACTCTGGGCAGCTGGAGAAGAGGACAGGAGAGGAAGAATGAAGGAGAAAGCAAGAGAATATCAAAATGAACCAGAAACACTAGAGACAATTTTCATTCACTTGTAAATATCAGAAAAACAAGAAAGACCATTGAGGAAAGAGAAAGAGAGGACAGAGAAAACAAACCCAACAACTAAAATGAAAACCTAAACAACCACCCCTCAAAAAAATTCCTCTGGTGCCCCCAGTTCTGTGTTAGTTCCCTAGTCAGAGCCACAGTCTGTACTGATTAACCCCACCAAGTCTGTAATGGGACTACTGCTGGATGTAGGGCTGGTCTTGGCCTGAGTCCTCTCATGAGCTGATCATAAGGCAAGGGTAGTGCCCATGTTCTACCACCAGTCAAATCCACTTGCCTGCTTGTACTTTTGCTTGTAGAGCAGGAGGCTCCTTCCAGTCCACTGTAGCTAAGGATAAGATTGTCTTTTGGCTTCTGGTAGAATGCAGTCTGGGTGGTCCCAGCTCCTACTTCTCTGAAATCATTCCTCAGTCTGTTTTCCAACTGCTGGCTATCTACTGTGACTGGACATCCCTTCCCTCTTTCCACTCTAGGATATTAGCAGTGACCCTGGAGCTGTTCTATTATTGGAGTTTAAGCCCTGAGCCCTTTAAAATAGAATGGAATTGTGGTCCTGTCCACACACTGCTATTCCTCAGAAAGACTGTGAGCCAGGTGCCTTTTTAGTTCATTCACCAACAGCTAATTCCTTGGGGGGCACTCAGGAAACAGTGTCTCGTGTTCTCACTGCTACCTCTGACTGTACAAGACTCTTTGTACAAGAACAGCCCAGGTCAGTTCTCAGTCTCTCAGTGGGATGCAAAGTTGCTTTTACTGAAGCTGCTCTAGTCACACTTCTTAGTCTCAGATCTGAGCTGTTTCATCTGTAGCAATGAATCCTATTTTCTTCTTCCCCACTGTCAGTTCCCATGTGCCCTGCACACCCTTTGGATTCTCTCTGAGCTACTGTTTTCCAATTGTGGGCACTTTATTCTGGAGAAGCTGAGTAGGTGGTACTCAGCACTCCACCATTTTGACTAGTCAACCACCAAGAAGAAGTGTATTTATATTAATTTGCCTGTGTGATGAACATGAAAAGGCATACTTCCTTCTTTTCATGGAGGAACAGAGCAAGAACCCACCTCATGAAACATCTCTTTCATCAAAATCTGTCCCACAGCTTTGGGACATATGTTAGAAGCCTCCAAAAAGAAGAGTTGCTAGTACCCTCAAGCAATGCTGCAAGTGACTCTGAAGTTTATAACAAGAACAGGCAGTATATAAAATTTGTGAATAGCAGGAAAATGGCTAAGATTATTTTAGCCTTCTAGGGATTTTTTTTTTTTTTTGAGACAGGGTCAATGACTGAAGTCATTAACTTGACTGAAGTGAAGATCAATGACTTCATTGCCTTTGAATACCTACAATGCCCAGCCAAATTCCTTGCATATAGTAACAGTTGTTACCAAAGACTGATTAACCTAAACTGAGTTCAATTAGTCTCTGATTTCCTCCATGCCTTGAGTACATTCCAGCTGGGGGTATGGCTAAGTGAAATTATGCCAAGACATTTTAGGAAAGTAGGAAAAAACAGTGACTAAGTGGTTGAAAAGGAAGTGACTAGAAACAGAGGACCGGATGAATTAGGGCTTCACACAGGGATTGGCAGCTGAGGACAATGGCAACTAATGGATGTGCTGTAATTGTATTTTCCCCTTCCTAAAACTTATAATTTCTCCACATCTCAAACCCTAGAAACCTCATCATGTGGTCTGAACTTCACTGTGGTCTAACTTGTCTCCTGGGCTCAATGTTTCCAGATAAGGGCTGAGCTGAGAGGGAAAAGTGTTGATGTGGGGTTGAGAGTGGTAAAGCTTAGAGTGGGAGAGGTAGAAACTCCAAATTCCTACTTGTTTAATCATACTTCTCCAACATGGCTCTCCTGTGATCCATTTCAGGGATATCTGTGGGTACTTTCTGTTGCTCTCAGAGATATTATCTACCCTAATAAGAAAATTCCTGTCCTCAGCCCTGTTTCCTCTGTTTCTTTCCATCTACTTTACCCCCGCTTCAATTTTCATTACTCCTAGAAATGTTCCTTTTCTATTTAAATTTTACTGATTTCCATATTTTCATAATCTATAAGTCTACATTTATGAATTCCTTTCTTCCTGAACTTCTTGACTTGCCTAATTTATTAAAGGTATTACTTCAACTCTTCTATCCCTTTATTTCCACAACTAAGCCAATATTTGAGTCAGAACATACATCTTGCTTTTCAGGTCAAAAATAAGGCTACCACGCTTCTGAATCATACTACATAGTTTAGCCTCTTATTTGTGTAATTTATTGTTGTTTTCTGTGTGCTTACCTTGTCTTCTCAAAGTCAGCTTTAAATTCCTTGGAAATAAAGGCCACATAGTTTACTTCATCTGAATCATCTCATAATACTTAGTACAGAAATTGAATACTGATTAATGGATTGATAATTAATCAAACTGCATAAAATATTATGTTTTTCCTGGTGGTCATTTTCCCATTCTAATGACCAAAGTTTTCCAGAATTTACCTGTACCCAACAGCTCCATCATAGACAGAATCATTCAAATAAATAATGGAGCCTCCAGGGAGTACAAATTGCTGCCCAGCTGGAGCATTATAAGACACCAAGCCATCTGTCAAAGGAAACACAGCTGTCAGTACCACTGCAAATGAGTCTGCTCAGACTACCCCCAGGGAGCTACATGAGATTCCAGGGTGCAAACTTGTGCAATGTGTCCACTAGGATTCAATTCAGGTACACAGAGAGCACTGCTGAGGAGCACTCTTTAGTAGCAGTCAGAAGAGTGACTCTAAATATGTAATTCCCAGTGTAGGTCACCAAACCCTGAGTAGATGAACAGCGATCCATTCTCTTCTCTAACCAAGAGGAAATAATTGCATTCCAGGGTAACTGCTCCCATCCCTTTCTAATTTGATTATCTTTATTGTCCCTATAATGCCAGGCATGGCATTTTTCATAAATCTGAAGATCCCTGCACTAGAGACCTACCTAGCCAGACACAGCCATAGAGTTCCACCCTCATGCACACATTCATGGAGTGGTCAGTGACCGGAATGAAGCGAACAAATCTGGCTACAATGGGAGGCTCCAGGTCTTTCAGGAAAATGTCATAGGGGTTACTATTTCCGTCTAGCACCTAAGGAGAGAGAGAGAAGAGAAAGTGTAAGGAGAAGGTATAAAATCTTGTTCACTCTTCTTCATTCATCACCCTTTTGATATCTCCTCTCTTTTTAATTCAAGGAACAGAATATATGTGCTCAGCTTTCCTAGCTGCCCTGATATTCTTCTCTGGGCCACCTCCCTTAACTTAGGTCATGATTACAAGGGCATGCCAGGTCTGTAGATACACATACCTACACAACTTGTGCTCTTCTTCTGGCCTAAGTCAAAATCTGGTCTTGGTCCCCCAGGGAGTGGATGTCTCTTCTTCCTACCTGTTTTCCATGCCGGTTCCGCCAAGAAATCCAGCGAGTGCCATCCCGACTGTATTTGATCTTATACATGGGTGCAAACTCAATGCCATGACCCCCCGCATGGCGCCCCTGAGTCCCCACAAGAGTGATAAAGTGTAAGGTATGCAAGTCAATCTGCAGAAACTCCTTCAGGTCATCAGGTTCCACTGGAATCTCAGGACACCAGGCTCCATCCCCTTCTTCTGAGTCCAACCTGGAAAGGCAAAGGTTGGGGAGAGAGGAAGCAACTATAAGACCATAGGGTTGTTCATCAGGTAACAGCAAGTAGCCGTTCTGCGCTGAGGGAAGAGAGCAAGCTGGGAGTGCAGACAGAGCTTGGGGTTCTTCCCACGGTCTGATTGCTCTCCCCATTCCCATTTTTGGTCCATTTCCTTTCTCTGAAGCACCATGATACCCATGCAGAATCACCACCAGGGAACTGAAAGCATTCAGAAAACATGCAGCTTTTATTTTTTTCAAGTTGATTTAGAGACTTCAAAGGACATGAAACGTTTTCTACACTCTGTTCCTCCATGGAAGCATCTCACCATCCCCCTTCCCAGTTTTCAAAGTCAGTCTAACACAGCTAGCCACTCCTGGCTTGGATACGCAGTTGTGGGAGTGCTGAGGGAGGGACATTATGATCTCCAGTGTGGGCTACTCAGTGCAGTGGAATTTTTAACCAGCAGGATGGGTATGGCCACCCAGCAAACACTATGAGAACCCACCATGAGGGTAAGGGCTAAGAGCATGTCAGGGGAATAGTAAATAATCTGGTTTCATTTTATTACCTCCAGGCTGAGTTACTACTGAGCAAAATTGTGAAATCAGTATAAGGTTTATTTTGGGAACCTCTTGCTACTCTGCCTCTTCCCTGGAATGCTCTCTTTTCTCACAGATGTTACCCATTCATTTGTTGCTCCCTTCCAACCTCACCAACCATCACTCTAGTCTTTCACACTAAGGTAAATATTATGAGGAAAGTTTACCAAGGTCACTTTCCTTATGCGTGATTGTATTTTAACAAAATCAGCACCTTACACCAAAGGAATTCGATTCCAGAAGGAGGAATAAATTCCAAGAGTGGTTTTTGAGTAGGGAATTTGTTGATTTAGAGGACCCATGAAATATTGCCATGAGAAACCTGTTTATGGGTGCAGTTTAAAAGAGAAGAATTTGTTGAAGGACTCAGTGTCTGGTTAAACCCTTGATGCTTTGCACAACAAGTGATGCTTGCACAGATACCCCCAAGAAGAGGAGCAGGTCTCCTAACTCTTAGCATTCCACATCACTTGGACCCTCCCGTGCCTGCTGCTTTGGTCGCCTTCCTGCATCAGTTCACAGGGAGAAGGTCAGGTAATGAGAATTCACCGCAAATCAGTGAATCCATTCACTGTGGGCATGCGGCTCTGTGGCGTCTGTGGTTGGGATGAGGGTGTCAGAGCAGCACATGAAGCCAAGCCCTGAGTTCTCTCTCTGAAAGCATCAAGAACAGGACAAGCCCACTTTTAACATCTTTCTGTCAGCCCACCAGCTCTGACCAGAACCACCTCTCTTCCCTAGCTGACTGAATCAGGCATCTGTGTCCTGAAAATCAGAACGACCCAGAATCCAGGCTTTCCTGGTAGAGCCATTCTCACCTTCCATATTTGGCAGCTGTGGACTCTGACCACTGACTGGAAGCTGTGATGTCCTCATCCGGAATGTGGCCTCCTGACATGCCCAGAGGATAGCGGCATATAGCTGAACCAAAAGAAACCAAAAATAAAAGAGAAGACATGCTTGTATTTCGATTTCCAGAGTCTGCCAGAGAGACTATAACTGATTATTGAACAGGTAGAAAGAGATTTTAAATTTTCCCTCTAGAGTCCCAGTTTGGCCACCCTGACTTTACCATATTTTTCTTCATGGCCCTGATTCCTGAAACCAGTTAGGTTCCAAGATTTGACCCTCAGCAAAACTTATCTTTTGGTGCAAACTCTTACAAGTAATGTAATATGGGATAATGTGTTGATTCATTATTTTATTTGGTAATAACCTTAATGGCCCATCCTTTTTCCTTGATTAGAAGATGTGTCTTTCTAACCAATTTCATAATACTAGTGAGTCATAATCATCAGGTACCTCTGTGATCCACAGCATTCTTTTTTGTGTAGGTAGCTGATGGCATGAAACTATGAAGTAAGCCATCAAATTCTTCCATGAAAAGATTCAGCCTACATTTTTGGCCCCAATAGCACCATGTCTGGCCCTTGAACCAAAATAATAACCTGTAGGGATCAATTTCTACTTTCAACTAAGATAGAATGACAGAGACAAAACTTATTCTTTTGTGTTAAACAACCAAAAAAAGATAAAAAGATAAAACACGTGAGATAATGAGCACCAGACAAAAAAAGGACAGCAATTTCTGAGAGAAAGGACACAACAATAAGCCCTATGACTATGGGGCTTACTGCTCTGAGCATCTAGTTACAGAATAAAAGGGTGAGAACTCAGCAGAGCTTGGAAAATTCTCTGAATTGAAGAGACAACCATATGAGTACAGAGAGCTCTAGAGAACTGTAGTTCTCAAAATACAGGGCTGCCAGGTAAGATTACAGGACACCTAATTAAATTTGAGTTTCAGATAAGCCTTTTTTTAGTGTGTGTTCCATGGAATAAAAACAAGTCAAAGCATGCAAAGAAGCAGAAAGATAGGGAAAAAAGTAAAATAATTTAAACGGATGGCATTTCAAAATCTTAATGGCTTTTTTATAGAAAAAAATTTAAAGTTCTAAGATTCACATGAAACCCTAAAAGGCCCTGAATAACCAAGGCAATTTTGCAAAAGGGGAACAAAGTTGGAATTATGACACTCCAAATTTCAAAATATACTACAAAACTCAAGTAGTTAAAGCAGTATAATATTTCAACAAAAACAGACATGTAGATCTGTGGAACACAATAGAGAAGTTAGAAATAAACTCATACACATAGCATCAAATGATCACCTTCAATAAAGGGGACAAAAATACAGTAGAGAAACAATAGTTTTGTCAACAAACTTCTGGGAAAACTGAATATTCATAAGAAAAAGAATGAAATTGGAACCTTACATTATGCACAAAAATCAACACAAAATGGATCAAACATTTAAATACAGGACCTGAAATTCTGAAACTTCTGGAAGAAAACATAAAGGCCCTGGATATGAAACCAAAAGCACAAGCAACAAAAGCAGACATGGGTGGAACCACATTAAACTAAACAATTTCTAAACAGCAAAGAAAACAATTAACAAAGTTAAAATTTGGGGGATGGGAGAAAAAATTTGCAAGATACATATTTGATAGGGGTTATTATCTCATGCAACTCAAATAGCAAACATCAAATAAACCAATTTGAAAATGAAAGGGGCTGGGGATGTAGCTCAGTGGCACAGTGCCTTCCTGGCAAGTGCAAGGCCCTGGGTTCAATTGCCAGTACTAAAAAAAAAAAAAAAGTGAAAAACTACAATAGACTTTTTTCAAAAGAAACATATAAGATAAGCATGATGACTCAAATTTATAATCCCAGCTCTCTGGGAGGCAGAGGCAATAGGATCACAAGTTCCAGCCCAGCCTTGTTAACTTAGCAATTTAGTGAGATCTTGACTCCAAATAATTTTAAAAAGGACTGAGATGTAGCTCAATGCAAAGGACATGTTTTCAATCACAATAGTGAAATAAAAGAGGATTCAGGGGTTGGGGGGGAGAGGAAAGGAGGGAAGAAGATGAGAAGAAGCAAAAGAAGGAGAGGGAAAGGGAAGAAGGAGTAAGGGAAAAGAAAAAGAAGAGGAAGAGGAGGAAGCAGAAGTGACAGAGGAGGAGGAGGTGCCAAAGGAGGAGCAGGAGAAGGAGGAAGAAGAAGCAGTAGTGAAGAAAAGGAGGTAAGGAGGAAGTATACAAATGACCAGTAGTTATGTGGAAAGATGATCCACATCTCTAACCACTATGGAAATCCAAATCAAAGTTACAGTGAGATATCACCTCACATCTGTCAAGATGGTTATTATCAACAAATACAAAAGATAAAGAGTGCTGGTGAGGATGTGGAGAAATTGGAACCCTTGCACACTACTGGTGGGAATGTAAAGTGTTATACCCACTATGGAAATAGTATGACGGTACATCAAAAATTATAAACAGAACTACGACGTGACCCCCCAGTTCCATTTCTATTGTACACCCAATAGAATCAAAATTAGGATCTGAATTTCCATGTTCACAACAGCATCATTCATGAAAGCTAAGACATGGAGACAATCTAAGTATTTATTAACAGAAGAATAGGTGAGGAAAATGTGGGATACACATAAAATCAAATATTATTCAGCCTTGCAGAAAAGAAATCCTGCAATTTATAAAAACAGAGATGAACCAAGAGGACACTGTGCTAAGCAAAATAAGCTAATCACAGAAGGACCAATACTGGATAGTTCCACTAAAGATGAGATGTGTAAAATAGCCACATTCATAGAAACAGAGAGTAGAACGGTAGTCCCCAGGGACTGAGAGGAAGGGAAATGGAAATTTGCTACATACCAGGTATCAATTTCAGTTAAACAAAATAAATAAATTATAGAGACCTGCTGTACAACACTGTGTCTGTAGTTAGCAATACTGTATGTTACACCTAAAAGATCTTGTTAAGAGAACAGTTCTCATGTTGTGGTTCCTATTACAATAATAATTTTATTCCCAGTGACTGCATTTTATGCCCTAGGAATTTCACCAGCCTCCATTTGGTCCTCGCTCTACCATTCAGCAGCAAAAAGGAATGAACTCTTGCCACATGCTATATAGTATGAATAAATTTCAAAATAATTGTCCTGAATGAAATAAACCAGGCAAAAAGTATATGTTATAAGCCTCCATTTATATATAATTCTAGCAAATGGACAAGTCAACCTATTGTGACAGAAAACATATCAGTGGTTTCCTGGGGGACACTGGAGAAGCCAGAGAAATCCTGAAGGGGCATCGTAAAACTTTTGGTGGTAATGATTTCATGGGTTTAAACTATACAAATGTCAAAGCTGATCAAATTATGCATTTTAAATGCATGCTGTTTACTCTGCATTACTCACACTTCAATAACACTGTTTTTTAAAACAGTAAACTTTGGTAAGAATATTGAGATTTTGACTTTTGAATTCTCACTTCCCTTTTCAAGGCAGGGTTTCTTCACCCAAAGGATGGGTTTATATTTATAGGACATCAATAAATTGCTTAAAGTGAAATAGCTTCCTAGAAAGCCTAACTTCATTAAGGGACTGCAGGGTTAGACTGGGGTGATGGAGAAAGCTGAGTCTTCCCAGGCTTATAAGGAAGGTGTTATGGTTTAGATAAAGAAGGTCCCCCAAAGATCTCATGTGTGCCGAGGCAGGGCTTTTTGAAGGTGACTGAATCATGCAGGCTTGTAGCTGACTTGACCTTTGGAGGTAAGGCCTGGTTAGAAGTGGTCACTAGGAAAGCATGATTTAAAAGTTCATCTCTCTCCTCAGCTTCTCCGTTCTCTGCCTGCTTCCTGGCCACAATGATATTAGCAGCTTTTCTTCCATTACTCCCCTCAGCCATGCATTCTGCTTGGGAGCTTGCCATCCACGGACTGTAGCATGAGCCAAAATAAACCTTTCCTCCTTTAAGTTGTGCATGTTGGTATTGTGTCCCAGTTATAACAAAATAATTAAGACAAAAGGGGACTGAGGTAAACAAGTTGCAGTGTAATGTGTACCATGTACCATTTCCTAGAAAAGACCTAGAAAGGTAGCTAGCTAAACATCAAGAGGAAGGAGGTTTTCTGTGAATGTACTGACCAAGCCTCAAAGCTACTGTACTTATAAAACATCATGAGCTTAGGAAATGAAATCAAATGCAATCATAATGAGCTGAAAGCAGAGGAACCTTCTACTTGTATCACACCAAGTAAACCTCCTGGGGAAGGCAACGACAGTTCCAGGACACAGACTGGCAGTTACTTCCAGACACTGTGATTAAGCAAAGCCTTATGCAGGTGGCTCTGGCATGAAACACGGCCTAATACCCAACCACAACACTTCTATGTTCACCAGCCATTATATTTTCCAAGTTGGATTTGAACCAAAAGATGAACATGAGAATCTAGTGAACCTGTTAGGGACCACTATGGTGGGGTAGTGTGGAACAGAAGGCTGTGATGTGAAATACACTCCGAGGTGCAGTACACTATTAGCTTTTTAACATGGCATGTTTCAACAGATCCATCATGAGACCCTGATAAAACCACAAAATCAGAATGTTTGCTTGAATTGAGAAATTGTTACCAAAAATAAACTAAATAAGCCACCCAACTTCATTTGTTTTTAGTTGATTTAAAGTCATTAATTTTGGCCCCCTCACAGCTGGGCAGCACTCTGAGCTTCGCACTCACTTTGCTGTAGTTAGCAGCTCTGACCTGTGAGTTATAATAACAGCTGCCTCTGTTACTTCCCTGGGAACGAGAGGCTGGTTTTGCTAAAATACCGACTATTGACTTGGGCCTGCATATGTGTGGTGGGTGATGAAATGGATAAAATTGGCATTTTTGTCTTCATATTTTGTCTGTCTCCTTTGCTGTCTTAATCCTCGAGTCAGATTTTACCAAGTTCTGCATATAGACAAGTTAATCATTAAAAAAAAAAAAAGAATCAATGGTTTTCAGTAAGACTACAATGGGTTTTGACCAAGACTATTACAGGTCAA